AACAAACAAACCCCAACACATCACAACCGATTGAATAGATTTGAAGGGGCACTGAGGATGTAGTTCACTGGTAGAGCATTTGCCTAGCATGTGTAAAGAATGCATATGAGGGGCCTGGAGAGATGACTCAGCGGTTAAGAGCACTGACTGCTCTTGCAGAGGACTCGGGTTCAGTTCCCAGCACCCATGTGGCGGCTATGAACTGTCCTTAACTCCAGTTCCAGGGAATCCGAAGCCCTCTTCTGACCTTGGTGGCATTGCACGACACGGGTGCACTCGCACACATGCAGGCAACACACTCATACACATAAAATGAAAATAATAAATAAAATTTTAAAAAAGAATGCATATGAGAATCAAGCTTTCCTTTACTAAATAGCTATTAAAGAGACTTATAAAAGTACAAAACAATGTTTCTGTCAGCAGAATATTTTGGAAAACACAATTTGTTTTTGTGAAATGCTATATATATTAAAATGTAATGGATTCTTTGCTATATTTAAAGGGATTGATACATTTTTTTAAAACTTCAGGGTAACTTGGGCTATATCTATCAGACTCTATCTCAGTTTCAATTTGTTTTTTAATATTTTATTTATTATTTTTATTTTATGTGTATGAATGTGTTGCTTGTATGTATGTAAGTGCACCCATGTTATGCAATGCCCAAGGAAGTCAGAAGAAGACATCTGATCCCCTGGAACTAGAGTTACCGATGGTTGTTAGCCGTCATGTGGATGCTGGGAATTAAACCCAGGTGTTCTGCAAGAGCACAGTGCTCTTAACCACTAAGCCATCTCTTCAGCCCTCAGTTTCCATTTCTAATATGATAAAAATAAAAAGATGTGACCTGCAGAACATGGTAGTGTGCATACCTGTAATCCCAGAACTTGGTAACTGGAAGGAGAAGTATCAGGGGTTTGTGGTCATCCTCTGCTACATAATGAGTTTGAGGCTAACTTGGGCTACATGAGACTCTATCTCAATTTTTTTAAAAAGAAAAGAAAACCCTCTAACACAAAACATGTGTGATATATATGACATGACATCTCATATAAAAACCACTTGGAATAGTCCATAATTTTCAAGAATATGAACAAATCCTGAGAACAAAGCTTCCAGAACTGCAACCTGGACAGCCTTGCCCAGAGCAGCCTTTTTAGGCCTCTTGTGAAGAAGGTCAGGCACAGTCACTCCCCTGGGCCTATGTTTTCTTGCTCCTGAAGTTGTTTACCCCTATCCAGAGCAAAGAATCTGAGAATCAGGTGAAATTAAGATTTCTTGACTCTCCTGCTTTAATGATATCTAATCCAAACTTGAATTTGGCTTGACTAGAGTGTTACTGTCCTACCTTTAGGTAGCCTCTAGAAGACAGACTGTGGCCTGGGCTTAATAGCAATGGGCCCCTGACTAATTGGAATATGTAGGCTTAAATGTGGGAACAGTAGATTTGGTCTATGATTAGTTGCCTTTCTGCTGATAGAACAAAGTACACTAACAAAAAATGTTAAGGAAGAAAGCATTTATTCTAGCTTACAGTTCCAGAGGGGACATCAATCATTGTGGTAATACCTTTCACAATATGGATACAGTCTGGCCAAATTACTTTTACCTAATCCTGCAACCAAAAAGTTAAATCTTATCTTGTTTATAGTGTAGGCAAGCTCACTAAGCCTTGAGTTCCTCTTATAACCTAAACACACTAGTTCTTTGTGACCCTCTCTTGCCCTGGACCTAGAATAGTGTATGCACGTGTATGTGTATATGTTCAAAAGTGTGGCCTGATAATGTCTGTTTATGGTTGTATGTGTGTCTTGATCTAAATCTAGGAATCAAAAATGGCAAAATTATTCAATAAAATAAGGGTTTAACATTTACTTCACTATTTCATGCTGGATATACTTTTTCAGTAAAAAAAAAAGAGCCAGCCCTTCCTTGTTTAAGAACATAGTTCTAAGGGAATTCTGAAGGCACAGATTCTCAGCACTTTGGGTCCCCCGTTGGCCTTAAAACAGATGCTATGAGTCAGTTTGGTTGTTGTTAAGGCATAGCTATAAGGTGGCATTGCATTGCAAATGCTGCTGTCCATCATGGCAGGGAAGGCATGGCAGCAGGAGCAGGAGGCCAGCCCGGCAGTTAGGAAGCAGACTGATCACAGTTCATCTGCACATAAGAAGCAGAGAAAGAGAACAGGAAGCAGGGCCAGGCTATAAAACCACAATACCCACCCTAGAAATGCACTTCCTCCAACAAGGCTCCACTTCCTAAAGGTTCCATAACCTTCCTAAACAGTACCACCAAATGGTGACCAAGTGTTCAAACACACAAGCCTATGGGAGACATTTCACATTCAAACTGCGACAGTCAGAATCACAGACTCTTGTAGTTGATGAAAAATACAAGTATCTTCCCTAACGCTAGGCAACTAGGGTACTGTAATCCCACTATGTGTCACTCACTACTATGGGAGTTGAGACTGTGGGCTGTAAGAAAGTAGGGTGCTGACTGTAATGCAGGAGAGTCTGGGGAAGCATGGGGCAGGTATAGAAAATGGGAAGAGCCAGATTTCCATGAATTTGGTGGTAAGAGGAGGCCCAAGGAGCAACTGTGTCATGTTTAGATTTTTAAAATGAGAGCTTATGTATACAACCCAAAATCAGTCTATGTCTAAAAGAATTTCCCTGACATAAGGCTAGCAAGATAAGCCCAGAAGGTAAAGGTGCTTGCCTCCAAGTCTGATGACCTGAGTTCAAGTCCCAGAACCCACATAAAAAGGCGGAAGGAGAGAAATGACTCCACAAAGTTGTCCTCTGACTACACACATGCATTGGCGTGCACACACACACACACACACACACACACACACAAATTTTTAAAATTTTCCCTGATACATACATTGAATTAGACTTTGAGGTTTACTCTAATTTGATGAATGAGCATCTATATTTCAGTTCAAATGGCTTGTAGTTCCCAAAACTAGTTGTGGCCAGCTAACCTATAGTAAGAGAAATGAAAAACAAATTCTAAGGAAAATGGAAAACAGACCACATGGGAAGTTTGACATTATAAAGTAAAAAGACAACAAACAAGAAAAAGCTGGGCATGATGGCACCGATCTTTAATCCCAGTACTAGGGAGGCAGAGACAAGCAGATCTCTGTGAGTTTGATGTCAGCCTGGTTTCCATAGCAAGTTCCAGACCACTCAGGGCTACATAGTAAGAACCTGTCTCAAAAATAAAACAAAAACCAAGGGAAAAACCTCACACATTATCAGAAATGTACAAGTTTCCTTAATTATCTCTGATAGAATGTGTAACTTGTAGGAGAGCTTCCTTTGGACCTAAATTCCTCAAGGTAGCCAAATGGCCCAAATTGGAGGCTTGGCCTTTAATCGGGTCTTATCAATTGGTCACTTCCCTAACTGACAGAGACTTGTTAGCTCCATAAGTCTGTTCTGGCAGCCTGGCCTTATTAACTGATCGCGACAGAGACTGTTTGCAGTGTCAACCTCAAGGACCACAAGGACAGTGATGCCTGACACCTGACACTGAGCGAATTCCTACAGCTGCGTTCATTAGGGTCCCTATAGAAATCCAGATTGCTCTGCTTATTGATGCTGATGTCTGCATCCATGGACAAGACACCGGCCCTTTGCTATGTTCTCCTGAAGTAAAGAGGACATATTCCTTGCCTGTTGCAGGTCTAGCTCTGGTTCTTATTTCTTAACTTTAAACTCCTTCCTTTTTCTGCCATCCTAAATCTAACAATCTCTGCTCCCATGATGAGTGCATCATGTGCTACCTCAAGTGGTTCAGTAAAAGTCACTCTCTTCTGGCCAAGTTATTTGTAAGCTCACAAAGGTGAAGTGAGATGACCGTCAGGCCCTAAATTTAGAGGTTGGGATTATGGAGAAAGGAATGCCATGATGCCTGGGGAAAGAGTGATGAGAAAGGAAATCCAATAGGGCGATTTAGAAAAGGACTTGAGTCAGAGTCAGCCGGGCAGCATGTCAAACAAATGAGCCATCGTAATCCTCACATAACATTTCAGAAACGACTGCCTCAAGATTAGCACTGGCTTCACAGTCAGAATTCTCTTTTCCTTTTCTTAGAATCGACACAGTGCTCTTCAAAATGTCTAAAGACAGGTGATGACCATTGGGTCAGTGTTTTGTATGTGCAGTTCTGGTCTGGAACTAAGTGCTTACATGCCTTTCACAACATCCTCATGAGAGTAGATGCTATTATTATCTGCTCCCCTAAGCATGGGGCACCCATCAACCCCACTTAAGATGTTGAGTAACTTGCCCAAAGTCACATAGCTAGTAAATGACAGAGCCAAGACACAGACTTATGACTGCTGACTCAAAAGCTTGAGTTTTTCATCACAACTTCACAGTACTTCCTCAGACTACAAGCTAGGAAACTTGATTGCTGTGTTGTTTTAACATTTAAAAAGCATTTAAAGTTGATTGTGGTGGTGCACACCTTTAAGCCCAGCAGAGGCAGAGGGAGGCAGATCTCTGTGAGTTCAAGGCCAGCCTGGTCTACATAGTGAGTTCCAGGCAGAGGCAGAGGCAGGCAGATCTCTGTGAGTTCAAGGCCAGCCTGGTCTACATAGTGAGTTCCAGGCCAGTTGGGACTACAGGGAAACCCTGTCGTAGAAAGGCCAGAAATAAAAATAAATAAATAAATAAAAAGCATTTAAATGTTTTCCATATTTCATTTATTCTGTAGCCCAGGCTCCCATCCTCCTGCCTCAGCTTCCCCAGTAGCAGAGATTACAGGCCTGCAGCACCGGGCCCAGGTCTATATCTCATGTTAGTCTCAAACTAGGGAATTTTAAACATATTTGATTTATTATTTTTATTTAATGTGTATGAGTGGATTGCCCACATGAATGTTAGTGTGCCCATGTCATGCAATGCCTGTAGAAATCAGAAGAGGGCATCAGATCCCCTGGAACTGAGATCTACGGATGGTTGTTAACTGCCATGTAGGTGCTGGAAACTGAATCTGGGTCCTCTGCAAGAGCAGCCAGTGATCTTAACTGCTGAGTCATCTCTCCAGGTCCCTCTAGTGAATTTAAGCATTATTTTCTTTTCTAGAAGATTCAAGTTTGTCCGTAGAGACAGAAAGCAGACCAGTGGCTACTTAAGGATGGGAGAGGCCTGAAAGAGACTGAAAAAAGAAATTATAAAGTTGCAGGTAGAAACTTTGGGGAGCAATAAGTATATATGCCCACCATAGGTTGATTGCTGGGATGATTTCACAGTGTATATCAACTTTGTCAAATCATATACTATAAATATGTAGTTTCTTTCATGTCAATTACATCTTGTTTTTAGATGAGGAAGTAGGTATCATGAGAAACTTGAAGGATCTTATCTGAGATTACTTAGAAAGAGGTAGCAGAGACAGCATAATAATATGGTTTTTGTTTGTTTTTGAGGCAAGGTCTCTTTACGCAGTCCTAGCTGGCCTGGAACTGGCTATATAGACTGGGGTGCCTTGAACTCACAGAGGTCTGCCTGCCTCTGCCATTCCAAGTGCTGGAACTAAAGGTGTGCACCACATCTGACAAATTTGGTTTACAAGATTCTTGATCAAAGCCAGGTGTGGCAGCCCATACTTGTAACCATACACTGGAGACAGAGGCAGAAGGTACTGCTGTGAATTTGGTGCCAGCCTCGACTACATAGTAAGTTCCAGGCCAGTGTGGGCTACAGAGTAATATCAATGAAATGAAATAAAATAAAATATTGGGAGGCATGGTGTATACCTATAAGCCTAGCACTTGTAATACAGGAAGGAGGATCATAAGTTTAAGGTCATCCTCTCTCTGCTATAGAGTGGTGAGCCTAGAGACACATGAGACCTAGTCTCTAAACCACACACACACACACACACACACACACACACACACACACACTGTCCTAGTTACTTTCTATTGCTGTGATAAAAACCCTGACCAAAACCAACTTTTTGGGGAAAGGGTTTATTTGGCTTACAGCACAGTCCATCATCAAGGAAAGCCACAGCAGGAACTCAGGGCAGTAACCTGGTGCACAGACCATGGGGTTATGCTGCTTACTGACTTGCTCCTCTAGCCAGTTCACAGCCTGCTTTCTTACATAACACATGACCACCTGTTCAGGGGTGGCACCACCCACAGTGGGCTGGGCCTACCTACATCACTCAACAATCAAGAAAATGCCCGCCAGACATGGCCATAGGTCAATTCAATGCAGGAAATTCCTTAATTTACATTACCTCCAACCACATGTGTCAAGTTGACAACTGAAACTGTTCTTGAACACACACACACACACACACACACACACACACACACACACAGTTTTTTCACCTAAATTTGGTAAATTTTTTCCACATGGTTTTATTTATTTTTTAAAACATGGAGCACTTCACAAATTTATATGTGCTCTTTGCCCAGGGGCCATGTTAATCTTTGTATTGTCCCAATTTTAGTATATGTGCTGTTAGAGTTAGCACCCAATATAGTTTATAAAAAGGCAAATGCACATCTTCAGAAGCCTGTCTTCATGCTGTATAATCTATAAGGAATTTTTAATAAGGAATTCTGTAATATATGGCCAGCAGGGGGCAACTAAATACTTGGAAAACAGGAACGTGCAAGAAAAAGTTAAAATTGGGATTTTCTGTTGGCATTGTGCTGTATGAGACAGCTGAGTGCCTTTAAGATGGTAATTAACACCCAGTCACACAGTCACACATTGAATTTGTGAAAATAATTGAAGCACTCTTCTAAGTAGATTATAAGAATCCTATTCTAACTTCTAAGTTCTGTGTGGAATAGATTGTTTGGGTTTTGGGTAATTTATGTATTTATAATTGATGAGGTTTTAAAAATTCTTGTAGAGACTCCCAAAATGATATAGGCTATTGCCACAGCCCATGATGGCCTCCCACAATTTGAAGGTAAGACCCTACAGCTGAAGACAGAACATATGTTGCATTTGGAGCAATAGAGCTTGAACTGACCTGAAACCACTTTCCCTGAAGGCTAGGTCTCATAGCTTTGGCGATCACTATGAAGGTGCCAAGGGAAAAACATCAATCGATGGTCCAACACCAGCTTCAAAACAAAATAACCACATCAATGGTTGGTACAGCATACGACAATGGTGTAGGAGTGACACTTTTATCTTGGGGGCAATCAACATCTACGCAATTGGACTAAAAACTCACTCAATGGGAGGAAACTCAAGTGTGGGCCTGTAAACATAACCAAATACACATGGCTGGAGAGGTCATACATAGATCTTAGAGAAAACCCAAGACCATCACATCCATACACTAATATAATTTCTTGCTGTGTGCAAAAGATGTATCCTTATATTTACAAACATTCCGGTCACCACTCATCAAAGAAGCTTTTTTGCATCAGTTGCCCAGGCCTAAGGTGACACATCTACAATGAAACCTCTACACCTAAGGCACACGGAACATTGAACAGGGATAATGAAGATGACACTAATGAATCTCTCAATTATCATTAATGAAAATCCCTCATGCATCAGAGGGCCAGGAACACAAAAGGTCACAAGTGGTCAAAATGTAGAGATTAAGAGTCTGCAGATTAGCCGGGCAAGGTGGCACACGCCTTTAATCCCAGCACTTGGGAGGCAGAGGCCAGCCTGGTTCACATAGTAGTCCAGGACAGCTGAGGCTGCAGGGAGACCCTGTCTCAAAAAGACCAAAAAAAAAAAAGGTCTGCAGATTACTAGATTACTGGTCCTTAGACAGGATGCCTATAAATGCACTTTCAATTTAAGATTATTTCAAGCTTATTTTTGTAGAGACATAACCCCACTGTAGTTAAGTTAATCTGAGCCATTTCCCAACCTTCATTTGTGGAGACTAATTTTTGATGTTATTCTTAGCATATATTAATTACACATAAAACATGTTTCATTATGACGTCTTACAGGTACACCATGCATTTTGATCATATTCACCCATTACCCTCGCTTTCCCATTCCTACCACTCTCACACTTCTTCCCAGTTAGTCATCTTTTTACTTTTACCCAATGAGTTGCATTAGGGTTGCTTATAGAAGGTTGTGTGAGGACTTGTTTACAGTGGCATGGGCACTGTACCCACGGGTACACCACTGAAGACAATTTCTCTCTGTTATCAACCATTAGCTGCCTTTAAACCCTCAGGACAAGGTGGGGCATTTCAAAGCTCTTCCCTCTTTTTTTTTTTGAAGCAGGGTCTCCCTGTAGCGCCAGCTGTCCTGGAACTCCTTATGTAGACCAGGTTGGCCTTGAACTCACCAAGAGAACCGCCTGCCCCTGCTCCCCAAGTGCTGGGACTAAAGGTGTGCGCCACCACGCCTGATGAGGCTCTTCCCTCTTAATGGCAGGATGTTGACAGGCCCCACTTTGTGCCTGTCTTATGCAGATACTCATAGGTACTGTTGAAGAGTCTCAAGTCATGCCAGGTCAGGTTTTTTGCCTACATGTATGTGAATGCACTATGTGTGTGCAATGCCTGTTGAGGTGAGAAGAGGGCATTGAATTCCCCTGGAACTGGAGTTAAGGATGGTTGTTAGCCACCATGTGGGTACTGGGAACTTAACCCCAGTCCTCTGGAAGATCAGCTAGTGCTCTTAATCACTGAGTCACTTCTCTAGCCCAAGAGACTAATTTTTAAACCTTGTCAGTGTTCTCCAGAGAAACCAAGCCAATACAATGCATATAAGATATTTAGATATAGATGTTTATTTTAAAGAGTTGGCACATGTGACTGTGGTGACCTATGAAAGGGTTTCAGTTCGAGTCCAAAGGTAAGATAGTGTCAGAATTGCTTCTTGCTCTGGGCAGGTAGGTCTTTGATGTATTAAGGCCTTCAGCCAACTGGAGAGGGTCCAGTCACGTTATGAAGGACAAACTGCTTCACTCAAAGTCCACAGATTTAAATGTTAATCTCCTCCAAAAACACTTTCACAGAAACATCCAGAATAATGTTTAACCAAATATCTGTGCAACATGACCCAGGCTAGTTGGCCTATGAAATTAATCATCACAGTTGTCTTATTTGTTGATATCACAGCTCAAAATGGGAAAATATCCTATATGGTCAAATATTCTAAGCTTTATTAGTATTAGCACAGAGAAAGTCTTCATTCATGCTGATTTAAGTTGAACTGAGATTACATGAATTGAATTAAATATCACTAGTGGCAGCTGGGTTCCACCAGACTTCCATGTGAGGAAGGATACAGGGCAAGCTCTGGTCAGCTTGTCCAGCTTTACCTACTGGCTCCCCTGAGAACCTGTGTGCAATTCTGGATTAGTTACTTAATTTTGATATAACTCTCCATTTCTTCACCCATACAAAGAACAGTAATAATGACTACTTATGGTGCATTTTGCTATTGTTAAGCAGCATTCTCTACTTTTTCCTTCTGGATACTCAGTGGACTGAACATTTCTCAACACTCCTGCAATTGGAAGAAGCCATGTGGCCAAGCCTAGTCAGTGAATACTGAGGAACTGACATGTATCAGGCAGGTGTGGTAGCACACACCTGCAATCCTAGCACTCAGGAAGAGGAGGAGGCAGGACCATCAGGAGTTCAAAATCCTCCTCCTCAGATACATAGATGTTCTAGGTCAATATGAATTTCTGAAGTCTTTCTTCCCTGCTTCCCCCACTTTGGCAATCTGGAACAAAATATTTCTGTTAATATATAATTGGTAGTCAGGTGTGGTGGCACATGCCTTTAGTCCCAGCACTTGGGAGGCAGAGGCAGGTAGATCTCTGTGACTTCAAAGCCAGCCTGGTCTACATAGTAAGTTCTAGGCCAGCTGGAGCTACAGGGAGACCCTGTCTCAAAAAGACCCCAAAAAGTGGTGTAATTGGTAAGATAATTTAAGATAATTGTTAAGATATAACTGGTAGTACCCTAGGGTTGAAGCAGCCTAGATTTTCATGTTGCTACATGGAAGACAGCAGCTTGGAGAGCTGCCTGCATCCAGAGCCAACTTTTTGAGAATAAGAAATTAACCTAGTTAAATAATTAACTTTTTAAAGACTTTTCTGGCACAGTTTTTCCTAGAACTGTTTAGAGGGTTCGGTGAGATACTGCATGAGAACTGCTTATAAGCACTCAAATGTTAAAATACTGATCAAATCATATCAGCTTTAAACAAAATATTTTTCCTTTGAGAATGTAAGCCAGAAATGATCTATGGCTCACACCTGTAATCTCAGTACCTAAGACGCTGAGACAAACTGACTGCCATGAGTTTGAGGCCAGCCTGGTCTATGCAATGAGACTGTCACCCAAAATCCAAAAACACAGAAGCAACTAAAACAAAGACGGAAAAGAAAAAGAAAGAAAAAAGGAAAGTTGAACAACAGACAAATTAAAGTGCCAGGTGAGTTTTGTTTAAAATATTTCCCAGTACCATCTCATTCATGAATAAATGAACTTTTAAAAAGGTGTGCTAACCCTTTGATAACTGCTATCATTCTTTTCACCAGACTGGCAAGATTTCAATTTCCATTTCTTCTGGTACACTTGTGCTCTCATTGAACAAATACTTTTGGAGACAGTTGTCCACAAGAAACTTAGCTGTCCACAAGCCAAAGAGATGGCTCAGTGGGTAAAGGCACTTGTTATGCAAACCTAATGACCTGAGTTCAGTCTCTAGAACGCATGGAAAGATGGAAGGAGAGAACTCACTCCACAAAAGTGTTCTCTGATCTCCACTGGTGCACTGTGGCATGCATGTCCCTGCCACCATGTATACATACACAATAATAATAAAAAAAATTGGTAACCAGGCATGAGGTTACATGCTTGTAAAACCATATGCTTGGGAAACTGAAGCAAGAGGATTGCCACACTCAAAGCCATCTTGGGCAATTTAGTAATTTCTTGTTTCGAAATAAAATACAAAAAAGTGGGGGGAGGCCAGAGGTGTTAGCTAAGTGGTAGAGTGTTTATTAGCATGCACCAGGCCCTGAGTTCAATTCTCACTATTGAGAAAAAAAATATTTTCTTGGGGCTAAGGGAGCTGGAGAGATGGTTCTGTGGGCAAAATGCTTGCACAAGGCTGAGTTTTAGATAACCAGTACTCATGTAAAAACGTGGTCATGGTGGCAAAAGCTTGTTATCTGAGCACTGGGAGGTCGAGACAGGAGGATCCCAGTGGCTGATCCCAGACCAGCCAGTCTAACCAATCAGTGAGTTCCAGTTTCAGTGAGACCCTCTTTCAAAAAATGAGGATGGGACTAGAAAAATGGTTTGGCATGTAAAGCACTTGCTGCATAAGCCTGAGGACCAGAGTTTGATTCCCAGAACTCAAGTAAAGGTGGAAGGAGAGAACCAACTCCACAGAGTTGTGCTCTGACCTTCACATGTGAGCTGTTACGCACATGTGCCCACACATGTGTGTCATGCACACATAATAATAAATTTAAAAAATACATTTTTTTAAATACGGGAGAACAATAAAGGAAGACACCTACTACTGAACTCTGGCTCTACAAGCACACATTGGTATGCTTACCCACACACACCCCTGTATAACACATACACCCCCCCACCCCACCCCCACACAGCCACAAAGTACCAGCAGTGATAGTTGCTCATTTTTTTAAAAAATATTTATTTTTATTTTATGTGTATGAGTGTATTACCTGCATGTATGTGAGTGCACCTGTGTTGTGCAATGCTGTGGAGATCAGAAGAGGGCTTCGGATTCCCCTGGAACTGGAGTTAAGGATGGTTCATAGCTGCCATGTGGGTGCTGGAAATTGAACCTGGGTCCTCACAAGAGCAGTAAGTGCTCTCAACCACTGAACCATCTCTCCAGCCCCAATTTGCTCATGTTTCTTAACTCTTCTCTGAATTCAGAAACAGCTGATATGAAGGCACAGAGGAAGATGAAGGAAAGAAGGAGGAGGAGAAGGAAAAACCTGGATTGGGGATATGACTCAGTGGCAAATTTCTTGCTTAGAATATGGGAGGTTCTTGGTTCAATCTTCTGTACCACAAAAGTGACAACAACTTACTGTTCTTTCTGATAGAGCTTCTTCATATGAATTCAATGCACAATC